AAGACTAAAATTATATAAAATACAATCCATAACCAAAGAATCTTACTTTCTAATTGGAGAGATATCATCTTATATTGTCTTTTGTACGGTCTCAGCAGTTTTGCCCAGTTTTTAAAGCTCTTTGAAATCTGTCCAAGCCACCACCCTTTATTATTAGTTTTCAGTGGAAACCCATATTTCTAGCTGATCCATTATTCTTACTACTGCATGAGTCAAGAAACATTATGAGGTTTTAATTTTTTTAATGTTTTATTTATTTTTGAGAGAGAGACAGAGTATAAGTGGGGGAGGAGAAGAGAGAGAGAGGGAGACACAGAATCTGAAGCAGGATCCAGGCTCTAAGCTGTCAGCACAGAGCCTGATGCAGGGCTCGAACTCGTGAATCGCGAGATCATGACATAGCAGAAGTTGGACAGTTAACTGACTGCGCCACCCAGGTGCCTCGAAACATTATAAGGGTTTAAAAACAATTCTTTAGGTTATTTGAATGTACTTTGTGGGTTGAGGTCTGCTGGGATTTACAGAATGATGAATGTGACCCATGCTATGCCTTTTCTGCATTTGGGAACAAACATGGGACAAGTAGAGACAGATAGCCCATAGATTTGTCCTGTAATGGGTGGGGGTCAGTTGTGTATAAGTGTGCATCTTAAGGGGGAGGCAAAGCAAATACAGGCCTCCATTTTACATGTCCCTTAATATGGAGTCTGTTTTCGTTTTCCTGGAAATTGAGGCAGTCAGTAGCCTCATCTCCTGTGATTTTATATTCCAGAGATACTAAACTATTATTGTTTCCAAACACATCCTGTTGGTTCATGTCTCTAGGTTTCTGTATATTTATTTTTTCTGACTGGAATGCTCTTTAGAAAAAAGGTTTCTTACATTTTTTAAGGAGTCTACCATATCAAGAATTTAATGAGAAATTTAAAAATTAAACAGATAATACAAAATCTATCACTTTCCCCAGATAAACACGTAAAGAAATTTATTACTGAGGGCAGAAGGCAAACAATACAAAAGGACTAACAGTGGAGTATGTTACTAGTACTTCTTACAAGAAAATACTGGGAGCAGTTGGGAATGTTACTGGTAATAATAATAATGACAGTTTATTGAATACTTACAATTTGTCAGGCATTATGCTAACTGCTTCGCATTTATAGCCTCATTTAATAGTCCACAGAAAGTAGGAAGTAGGTGATATTATCCTCATTTTTGAGATAAGAAAATTGAGGATTAGATAGTCGGGTAAGGTCACATGGTATGTGGCTAAAATGGAATTATACAACACAGTGTCTGGCTCTAGAGCATAATCAATTACCAACACCTTTATAATTGTGGGCCTCACATGTCTACAGACAAGTGCTTAGAAAATGGTAATAAACAATGGGCATTTGTAATTTTAACTCATGCCATTAATAGAATTTCAATAATGATCCACTGTAGATAAGGCTCATTATTGAAATTAAGGAAGGGAAACATTAACATATTCAAATGGAACAGGTAACAGAGACCATGGCCAGTAACATTTTGAGTCAATGAGGTATTTCCCAACATGGAAATTCATATTTAAAGGTTGAAAGTCATCTTTCTAAAATCCAAATATATATACAGTTGACCCTTGAACAATGCAGGGGTTAAGGGGGCTGATCTCCTGTGCAGTTGAAAATCTGCATATAACTTTTGGCTCCTCCAAAATTTAACCATTAATAGCCTACTGTGACCAGAAGCCTTACTGATAACATGAACAGTTGATTAACACATATTTTGTATACATATTATATACTGTATTCTTATAATAAGGCTAGAGAAAAGAAAATGTTATTAGATAATCATAAGGAGGAGAAAATACATTTATAGTACTGTACTGTATTTGTAAAAAAAAAAATCAGTGTGCAAATGGGCCCATGCAGTTCAAACCATGTGGTTCGAGGGCCAACTATATATGTATGTGTGTATACATGTATATGTGTATTTGCATATATGTATATATGATAATTACCACATAATATTATAATTACTATGCACATATGCAAAACTACAGCTCGTTTGTATCCTCTATTACTAGTACACTCCCTGGCACATGGTAACGGGTGAGTAAGTGAAGGTAGGCAAAAGAACAAAGACCAAAACAGAAAGAACCAAAATGATAAGGTTACTTTAATACAGTATAGACTGCATTCCTAATTTAGAGTAAAGAAACTTCATCTTTTGAGGCATCTGCTATCAGTTTAATTCCACTAAAAGAACATCTTCTAAATTGTGCCTTCCTTTGAAGAGAATACAGCATAAGACTAAGGAAGCAATGAAGAAAAATAATTTTAATTGAGTTTATTTATGACCAAGAAGAAAAAAACAAATGGTGAAGGCAAGTGCCAGGAACTTTGTGACGATGTGGTAATTTATAAAAGAATATTTACAGAAAGCCAGTTGAAAAATGAATGAAATAAACTGAAATGTAATGGGGATGAATAGAAGGTTCAGTATTTAATATAAATATTCAGCTGGATGAGATACAACTGTGTTTCAATAGCAATTCTTGTGAAAAGGATGAGGGAAAATTACTTTCCTAGAAGCCCAATATAAATTGATAAGGCAAATGTCCGATAAAGATAAAAGCGACAGGATCTAATACAGCATTAGATTGAATCAAGAGAAAAATGGCGTCTGGATCATGGGAAATAAAACTGTATTTTCAGGTGTGCTTTCATCAGAGCAAGTGTGATAATGAGAATCCTTCAAAATGGTTCCATTAAAAAGAGTTGGAAAGAGATGGAAAAGTTTAATCTGAGTGCCTGCTTTGTGCTAAACATGTTCAAACATGTCACAAATACAAAAGGAGAGATAAGAATGCATGTAAGTAGTTATAACAAAATCTTACAATACTTTGTAATATGTGTAAGCCTAGAACATGAGTTGTTCATTGCATAAACTCTCTGCCTTCTGTCTCTGGAAACCAAAAAAAGAAGCCATCCATTCTACCTGGGGTCCAGCAGTTTTCATGCCCACTGCTTTCATTAAACATTTTTTTAATGTTTATTTATTCATTTATTGCTTTAATTTTCTTCTTTATATATTTGTCATTCTCAAATTCTTTACAATGGAAATGAATTGTTTTTGTAATAAAAAAGAATGCAATCCAAGTAATTTAAAAAAGGCTCTTAAAGACTATTTCCCAAATTATCCAAAACCCCATGTGGCAGCCTAAGCCTTATTCCCTTTCTGAATGAAGCTTGATTATATCACTGTATTCAAAAGTCCAGGGTCCCCCAAAGGCTGGGCCAAACCAGGCACTAATGAATTTGCTATTTTCTAAAAATACAGCGAAATGAAGACAGACTCTAGTAGTGAGCATTATATGTTAAATACTCTGATCATTAATAATACAATTAATTCCATTAAAAGGATACTTAATAAAATAAGAATAAATGGGGTTTAAACTAAGTCCCTCTTTGTCTAAGGTTCATTCAGGTCTCAGCTTAACAATTATTTACATTTAGTTTAAACTAATTTACTGTTATCATTTTTATTAATGTCATCAATTTCTCTGATTCACTTTCACACATTCAAGGGGAATCAACAACACTAATTTTCCAGCCTATAATTTGTTCGTTTTTTTCTTTTCTTTTTTTTAATATGAAATTTATTGTCAAATTGGTTTCCATACAACACCCAGTGCTCATCCCGAAAGGTGCCCTCCTCAATACCCATCACCTACCCTCCCCTCCCTCCTACCCCCATCAACTGATTTCAAAGAGCTAAAACAGTTTAAGAATTCTGAACTTTAGGCACTACAGCCATGGACCTAATGCTTGCTCTTTGATTAGAAAAGCAGTGCATTTAAGTTCAGTATAGGCAGCAAAAGCTTAATTTATCAGATTTCCTAAAACACGCAATGTGCAATGGTATCATCTATTCTGTTTAATTACAGTTAAAAAAATTACTGGTACAATAAACTGTTTTATCAGTTCCTATGGATCATGACTTAAATTTGAGAAATACTGTATTAAATTATCTCTAAAGTTTCTACTACCCTTACATTTAAATTTTCAATTAATGCAACGATAATCCAAGATATAAAATGACACAGAGTATGCAGAAATAGAACTGCCTCCAGTGGTTCAGTGGATAGTCACTTTTTTATAAAAAGATCAGTTTTTCTGTGAACTAGCTCTGAACAATACAAACAAAAACAGTATAAATAATGTAAAATTTTTGTAGCAAAATTATTTGTTATGGATGGTCTTTATAATAAAAGTTGCATTTTTTCCTAAAGTTTCTTTCTTTTTTTCTTAACGTTTATGTATTCATTTATTTATTTTTTTGAGACAGAGAGAGACAGAGCATGAACGGGGGAGGGTCAGAGAGAGGGAGACACAGAATCTGAAACAGGCTCCAGGCTCTGAGCTGTCAGCACAGAGCCCTACGTGGGGCTCGAACTCACGAACCGCGAAATCATGACCTGAGCCGAAGTCGGCCGCTTAACCGACTGAGCCACCCAGCCGCCCCTTAATGTTTCTTTCTTAATTCAACAGATAGCATGTAATAGCTATTAGTCTTCATTAAATATTAAATGTAAACCTAAAGATTCAAGCCAAAAAAAATCAGACTAGAAAAAATACTGCCAAATTTAACAGTACCTTAGAACCAATTTTACAAAAATAAAGATCATTAAAAGAAATCAGCTTCCATTGGTTCTTTAGCAAAAGCCAAATATTTAATGAAACTGAGATACTACTCAAATTAAAATCCTGAAAAAAACTACACGATGTTTTACAAAAATGAGCTATCATTTTTTTTTTTCTGAATCCATTTCCATGGACATGTGAGATGAAATGAGGATCTACCTACCATTCTATCTCTGCACTCTTTCTCTCCTCATCTCATTACACAAATATGATTTACCCAAGGCAATAATATACAAGTATATATTTACATACAGGCAATAATACATGCATGTACATATAAATTTATACCTACCCACACATATAAAATCTTACCTCTTTGCTTTCTTCCAGATCTGATTCACTACTGAAGTCCTCTGTGTTTAAATTTTCAAAGTCAGACTCTCCTACAGCAATTGGTACAGTCACGGTAAGACTGGGATTGTTTATGAATGACATGTAATCGCTTTCATCAATAATGTATTTTTCAACACTGCTGCCGGTTCCTATTCCACTTGTGGTTCCATTCACATCTTTAATATAGTCAAGATCTTTTCCAATTTCTGTTGTATGATTGGACATACAACTGTCTTTCTTATTGTTTAGATCATCAAGTGGTTTAATTTCATCTAGAATCTTTTGTTTTCTGACAAACGATTGTTGAATAAATTCATATATTTTTCTCTTCACATAAGCTACTCCTTTGTGCATCCTGTCCACAGCTATTTGGAGGTTGTTCATTTCATTATCATCATCTGTGGCTGCAAGATTGTCTGCACTAAATGAGCTCAGAAGCAAGGCCAGAAAGAGGTTCAGGACCTTAAAAATAACACAAACATGATTATAATTTCACCCCAATGTAAAGAGCAGATTGTGATAACTTATTCTTCTAAGTGTAGAGGAAACTGTAAGTTCTAACAGCTAGATTAGAAAGAAGCACCATAGAATAGTGATTAGAAGTTGGGTAATCTGAATTTGTGATCTGGCTCAGTAGCTACTACACTCTACATCCTTGGGCAAAGACATGATTTCTATTGGTCTCACATTCTCCCACATATAGAACAAAGATGATGAATGAGTTAACCTAAGGTTTAGCTATGTTTAAACTTGTATGATTATAAGAAAACAGATTGATATATGTACTATGCACAAGTTCTAACCTTAAAAATCATTAGTATTTGCAATTATACACTGAAAGACATTCTATAATTTCCCTTATGATAAACAGAGATATTGAGTTGGATATTAATTAAAAAAATAATCATTATGAGCCAGAATGAGAATAAGTATCTTAACACAGGTATTGACACTTATTTTCTTAACCCATTATTTCTCATGCTCCACTATTGATTAATTAGAAGAACCATTTATAAATAATTTCCAATACTTCCATAAGACTGATACTTTATATATATATACTTTATCTATCTATCTATGCATCTATCTATCTATCTTTCGGAATATATTAAAATTTTCTATACCTTAAAGAGTAATTAACGTTTCAAACTTAAAGAGAGAGAAGAATTGATCAGTTATTCCATTTGGGTAATCTCAGGCATCATTAGCCAATCCTTATTTTGACCTAGCACCACTAGAGAATTGATTAACCTAGGTTGGCTAATGCATCTGCCATATGACATAGAGTGATTGAACGGTATATGCCACGAAGGGGCAAGGAAATGGTAAAATCACTATGAACACTTAAAGACTCCACTCTTTAGTCCTATACTGGCAAGTAACATTAGGCTTTCTTTAAAAATGTTTTTCAGATTTCTCCCTCTTCTCTGAATTTGAAAAATGTTCCCAATATATCCTTCTAGGCATGTCTTCAATATGATACTCTATTAAAATTCATATAGCAAATGTGATGAAATGATTGACAAAGTGGATTTGAATATAAAAACTATAGGGTCGGGGCGCCTGGGTGGCGCAGTCGGTTAAGCGTCCGACTTCAGCCAGGTCACGATCTCGCGGTCCGTGAGTTGGAGCCCCGCGTCAGGCTCTGGGCTGATGGCTCAGAGCCTGGAGCCTGTTTCCGATTCTGTGTCTCCCTCTCTCTCTGCCCCTCCCCCGTTCATGCTCTGTCTCCCTCTGTCCCAAAAATAAATAAATGTTGAAAAAAAAATTAAAAAAAAAATAAAAAAAAACCCAAAAACTATAGGGTCACTGCTATATTACTGTGTTGTGAAAGTGAGACATATCTATATCTATCTATCTATCTATCTATCTATCTATCTATCTATATCTATATCTATATCTATATCATCTATATCTATACATCTATATTTATCTCCAAGGCAAGAGACTTTACAAATTATTAATCATAGTTTTTGCTTGGGCAAAATGGTCACTATCCTATTATGCTCTTAATCTATTTCTGAAATATATATCTTAAATGGGTACATACCACCAGGTTTCCAATAACCATAACCATCATGAAGACAGTAAGGCACATGGCTTGACCAGCAACCTCCATACAGTCCCACATGGTTTCTATCCACTCTCCACAGAGCACGCGGAACACTATTAGGAAGGAGTGGAAAAAGTCATTCATGTGCCAGCGTGGAAGCTGACAGTTGGTGGAGATCTTGCAGACACAATCTTTGTAGCTTTTACCAAACAGCTGCATGCCAACCACAGCAAAAATGAAGACGATGATGGCCAACACCAAGGTGAGGTTACCCAGAGCCCCCACTGAGTTGCCAATGATCTTTATTAGCATATTTAATGTTGGCCAAGATTTTGCCAACTTGAAAACTCGAAGCTGGAAAATAAAAAAAAAAATTATATAATTATTATTATGATCTTTAAAAGCATTGCATATACTGAGGTTTACCAAGAAATGATGATTAATATAGAATCTCTTACATCTGCCCTGCCCTTGAAACTTCTCAGGCTCATTGTTAATTTTTGGACCTTCTAGGAAGAATTTAGTTCTTCCATATTTTAACCACGTAGATCATCTTCCCTAAGAGTCAATTTCTGAAGATTACTTGGGGCCAACTGTCCATAATTTGTTTTGTGAATGTGGTTCTAAGGCATACCAGGCCCAACACTAATATTAACATCTGATTCACAATAATCTCTGTTGAAAAGATATTCATTTTGCCAATCGAATGCAAAGCGACATCATACTGAGGTCCTGCTATAGGTGGAGAAAAATGTTTATTATTCATTCATGCTCCTTTAGGGTACTGACATAGCTGTGCCTGCATTTAAAAATTTGGAGTATTTCCCATACCTATAATTCTTCCCCTGATTTGCAGGGACATATATGTAAACCAATGAGCATGTTAAGTAATCCTACAGATTTTTTCCCTCTCATTTAGAGAAGAAGCATATTATCCAGAGGTAGAATTAGGAATTTTCTGCATGCCCAACTGTGTCTGATCACCATTTACCACTACAAAGGGCTGTTTATATTTTCAAGTGACTATTAAAATGTGATATATTTCATTACAAGTATTTTCTTAGATCCAGGAATATTAACTGTAGTCATCTCTAGAAATGATAATTAGTCACAATTGCAACTGAGTAATATATTAAACTTTACATGACTGTACTTTTTTTTTTTAAATAAAGGTTTTTCTAAACACACGGAGATAATTTTTTTTTCCATTTAGGGATAGTTTTGATGATGCAAATGTACACAAAGATTTAAAATGTTAATCGTTGTGTAGTAAAACCTATGACAGTGCTATATACGAGCTCTAATTGTTGGACAGGTTTAGTTTTTGTTGCTGTTTTGTTTATTTTTTACCAGTCGGAATGAACGGAGAACTGATAATCCTTCCACATTGGCAAGGCCGAGTTCTACCAGGCTAAGTGTCACAATAAAACCATCAAAGATATTCCAGCCTTCTTGGAAATAATAGTAAGGATCCATGGCAATAATTTTCAGAAACATTTCTGCTGTAAAGATCCCAGTGAAAACCTAAGATCAAAACAAAGTTACTCTAATTCCATCAGATAATGATAAAGTAGAATGACATAGTATTTGATCGCAGAACAAAATGTTAATGCTACTTTCCCCATAATGATTCTATTACGAGCTCACATTTGTGTAGTAATGTATAGCTGATAAAAAGGCTCTTATATACTTTATTTCATTTTATCGTTACAGAAATTTATTGTTAGCCATGGACGTGGCTAATGCAGGCAATATAAATATCACTTTACCGGTGCGGAAACAGGTCTTTACGTGGGTGCAATGGTTTCTCAGATATCACACAACTAGAAAATGCCAAAAATTGGACTGGAATGCAAATTTATTTTGAACTAGTATTCCTTCTGTCCCATCAAACTGTCTGCCCCTCCAGACTTTATACAACACAGGTACTGACAAGATCTTGCCCATGATCACTTTTAATTGTCTATAAACATATTCCCCTTCCCTCAAATCAGATCATTATTATACAGGTACATTTATTACTATAATACATGTGTTATATTATCAATTTGTTATGCACGTGAAAAAAATAAATTTACTTCCATAATATAAAAAGCAGACCTTTAAAAATATAAATATTACAACTCAGGATGCTTTACATGTCTTGCTTCTTACCATCAAAAATCTTATACCTCAAAACAAATGTTATGAAAAATACATACATTACTTTAAAGTCTGTTTTCTTTCATCAAATAAAAGCTAATATTCCTAAATTGAGTCAACTGACAAACACTTTAATAATTCATGTTTTTTAAGCACAGAGGAGAAAGAATTAAGTGGCAACCTTTACCAAAAATGGCCTTGCTAATCATATAATACACAAAATATACTAGAGGTTTTCAATATTTGATGGTTTTGATATAGAATGGATGGATAAAACAATACATGCCCTACCTAGCTGCTGGAGGTGGAAAAGCTAAAGACATTTTTGAGATGTTAAATTTTTGCTTATAATGATGATGATGACTAAGCAAAATGAAAAGATCTACTTTTTTTGTTTTTAGTCTTCTACAGCTAGGGAAACTGTGATAATGTCTTTTCAAGAGGTGTGCCCTTAAATTGCTTCTGTATCTTGAAAAATTATAAATATCAATATTGACTTTCCAAGTAGTACTATAGGCCTATATATTGCTCTCTTTCTTAGCTTTTGCTTTGACATTAAGGGCTATTTATTGTTGGCAAAAGTTAAGGTATAGCCAGCTAGCTATAATTCCAATCTTTTGGGAGCCAGGAGGTAAGAAGGTGGTGAAAAGACTGTGTTAAGCTATAAATGGAAACAGTTGCTCAAACAGAAAATTTGAAGATTGAACACATTTACCTTCCAATATGCTTACCAAGTTTCCTACTGTAAGCACATTATTGAAATGTTCCGTCATTGGATAATGCTCCATGGCCATGAAAAGAGTATTTAAGACAATACAGATGGTGATGGCCAGGTCAACAAATGGGTCCATCACGACCAGGTTGACAATATGTTTCACCTTTAACCAATATGGTGAACAGTCCCAGATTAAGAATATGTTGGAAAATTTATACCAACAGGGTGGGCATTTCTGTCTGGATTCTTCAAGTTCTAGATTTAAAAAAAAAAGAACCACCAAAAGATATATTTAATAGATACATATATTTATTTCAGATCCACAAGTCTTTTTTTTCAGTAATCCACACATTTTCATTTGGTACAGAGTCAGCCTCATTTGTATCTAAAAATACTATCGCATTTATTCTTTAGACCTCTGAAGATATTTTTTCAGACATACACATAGGGCAGAGGGAGCAAAGAATAGTTTTTTTTCTTGTATGTATTGACAACATGGCTCAATGATTGGCCTGAAGTGAATGGTCTTTTAAATGAAGTTTTTCCATAGGAAAATGAGTTGCAGAAATGTAGATACTGTGTGTAATCCTATGTTAATGTCTGGCTAAGCTGTCATCCTAAGTCTATAAGAGACAGGGTAGGGTTTGATATGAGCCAAGAATCATCTTTTAAATTTGTTTTTGTTCTGTGAAATGACCTGCTCCTCTCCTCCAATCTTGAGAGTATTTTGGATGGCGTTGAAGTCCTAAGCCTAATGGAACAAAAGAGAGGGTCACTGTGACTAATAAGATTAGGAACCTCTAACAAATGCTTTATTCCACATTTTCAAAGAATTATCACACTGGAAAACATTCTTTAGATTTCCAATATCATTGCATTTAAGTAACGTTTTTAAAGTTCCGAGAATATATGAGCAGGTGTAACAAATAATAAATCTTAAATAATACCTATTATATTCTCTTTCTAACATACTGTTTCCAATTTACAAATAGAGATATTTGTTTCAAGTGAGAAAATATAAGTTTACTGAAAATAATTGAACGATAATGGGATGGGTAACAAACCTTCTACTGTATTTGTTAAAATGCTGGCTATACTCATTGCTCTTTGCCTTTGGGAAGGATCTTCTAGAAAGTCCATGGAAACATGGAAAGAACTTGACCTCTTCCTCATCTCAGTTTCGGTGGTTGTTCCCTATAAAGAAAATTCTAATGTATTAAATGATTAACTTGAGCAATATGATAAGCAAATAACCAGATGTGACACAGTGAATTTCATGAAACACATGCATCATGCACTTTCATATTTAGTTGGTGATGGCAGATATTGCTGACTTATTGTATCATTAACCTGGAATATCCAAACTGTCAACCATTCAGTCATACAGCAAAAACTGAGTTTTTTAACCCTCTAATTTCATAATTTTATGAGACATGATGTAATTTTGATATAGTTAATAAATCTATTGAGAGCCATATTTAACAGTTAGCACTAGTTCTGAACTACTAGTAAAAAAATAATAACTTGAAAAGTCATATAAATGATCAGGCATTTTATGTTGAGAAGGTAGCCATTTATTCTTAAAGAAATACAAACGATTACAACACATGTAGCTGCCATCTCATTATCTGTACACAAGACACAGATGGTCATTGACAACACAAACTGTATGTTAAAAAAGTCACACATGCTGCATGGACAACAGTTTCATCCAGGGTACCAAAGCAATAAGTCATCTAACTCTGACTTAGTCATGCCTCATCATGCTGATATATTTCCAAGTGGTTTCACAGTCTAATAAGAGGCAGCATGTGTGTAGAAATTCCTCATCCTGTATACATTCACAAAAACATAACATACGTTTGTACACAGACAATTCTTTTATCTGTCTGTATTAACAATTTATTTGTGTCTCATCATTTAGATTCATTTTGAGAAGACTTATATCAGCATTTATTTTTTAGAAAGACAAATGTGAATAGTAGAAACTTCAAGATAACAATGAAGCTATCTATTGAGGCACAGTGTTCTTGAAAATCTTCTAAAATAAGGCAGAGCTATATTGAAGAATCTGTTGGAAAGATTTATTATACACCCTTTATACTTAAACATAGGAATCATTCATTTACTTTTATACCAAACTTTAGAGGATGGCCTGCTATCTAATCTCAGCATGGGTATATAGCAAATCCTCCAACTGGAGGCAGTAATTTATGATTGTGTCTAATTTATTCTTAGCAAATTTAATAATTAAATGCATTCGGTGTTATGCAAGACTGTTGAGGCCTTAAGTTTTAGTTGGTTAGTCTATTAAAGGTATTACAAGATGCAGGTGCATTCGCAGCTTGACCAACCAGGAATCATTCTCAAAGGTTCCATTCTGTAGAAACACTGGCTGGTGCAGCAATAATGGGCCAGCCATGCCTGAACTATTTAAAACTTCCTTACATTGTCATCAGTAGCTGGCTTATCTATTATCACCTCTGGCAGAAGCTGTCCAACAGGCGATGTAGGAACTGAAGGTCCACCAACCAAGGAAACCACACCATTGCAATCCACAGTGCTGTGCATCTTCCCATTCACTGGAAACACTGCCAGCATCCGGGAAGACCTACTGGTCTGACTCAGGTTACTGTTGCGCCGCTCTCCATGTCGTCGGGGCACAAACAAGGAGTCTCTCCGGCTCTCATTATCCTCAAAGGTGCTGTGCTCATCATCAGCAAAGTCATTCTCTGATCCCACATCCTTTGCTCGCCCTCTAAAGCTGAAAAGGCTTGTTCTGCTATTTCGCCTTGGAGAAAATAGGGAGCCACGGATGCTCAACAAAGACTAGAAGTTTGAAACCAAAAAAAGTACAAGCATATTAATATAGACATTTGAAATGTGCTTTTATTTTGCAAAATTAAGTTGAAGGAGATTCAGTATTCATAACAGGATGTGATTTGTTCCTTTTCATTAACATTCTCATTTTATGTGCTCAAATTAAATTGGTTTTATAAGAAATTTCTAGACCTTGAGATTTTGAATGGGGAGAAGGATCACAATTTAAAGACACTGAAGAAAACTCAAACCCTGAACCAACATTTTCAAGTTCAAAAGCAAACATCCTTAGCACATTACTTTGGACACCATAAACATTCAATAAACATTGGCAGCGTGACCTTCACAAGGCCTTCACAAGGCCACATTATTGCTCTTTCCTTCAAGGAATTCCAACATTTTTCACAAATTGTTTTAGCGCATCTATCTAAAATCACTTTAAATTAATTATTACCCCTATTTCATCTATAAAGCACAGACTTCTGAAATTCAGAGTCATGTGCTTTTTGATAAAGCATATCACAACTGAAGTTTTCAGAAGCACGAATGCTGGTTTATAAAGAAGTTAGGGGGAAAAGGCAACATAAAATAACCAAAAAAAGTACTGATCAGCTAGCCCTACATCCAAATTTTTTTTTTTTCATTAAAAAGGTCAAGGAACAGAAAGATTAAATGTCATTAGTTTCAACAGGTATCAGCAGATAGTATCAGGAGGAGAATCCAGTCTTCTGAATTTCAACCCAGTGTTATCCCAACTACACAAAGCTGCAGACTTACATATATGTGGAGTAAAATTTTCTCATAGCTATGTAAAGAAAGGGTAGATTTAAATATAAGAAACATGGCAGTCAATTCAGTTGATGATAATTCATAAATCTGGTTTAATTCTCCCCCTCTTCAGTGTTCTGATTTTCAGTCATGCATCAATGAACTCAGCAGTGCCGTACCTGGTGTGGGGAGGAGTACCTCTTTTCATATGTCAATCGATTCCCTTCGATGGAGAAGCGAAACCCTTTCCTTCTGATGCTGTCTTCAGACTCAGATTTATGGAATTCATCCTCATCTTTCTCTTCCCCACCAGACTGCTCTTTCTGTTTTCTTTTCTTTCTCCGATTTCTTCTTTCCTTAGCACTCTTGGAACTCAACTTGGAGGCTTCAGATGAGCTGTCGGAGAGCCCACCTGCGGCGCTAGGTTCTCTGGAATGCTCTGAGGCAGTTACAGCTGCTGCCTGCTACATTAAGGAGAAATGATTTTAGTATGGCATTAGAGAAGACTTTATCTTCTTAAGCTCAAGTGTTTGCATAACATTTAAAAAACACATTTAACCTGCTGAAGCTGATCTTCCGTAGAAGCAGCTCTGTCTGCAAGTAATACATGGGACTTTTCCCCCTTTCTATCTAACGAAGGCTTTCACGGTTAACGTGGTTTTATCTCTGTTAACATTTATTATGTTTATATTATGCTGTACAGGCCACATATTCAAAAGGACCAATCAGGCATCAATAAGAACATAAACTCATATTACTTTTTGGGATTTGAATTACTCTAAAAATTGGTATTTAATTAGCACTGTCTTCTCTGAAAAAGAAACTGTGGCATGGAAGAAAAGTTATTGACTTACCTGAGCTCATACCCAAAAGGAGTAGGAATGAGATAAAGAGCTGAGGTCCTCTCCCCAGTTATTGAAGTTGCATTATCAAAATATTATCAATGAAGGTGGTAAAATCCCTTTCTTGCCCTACCCCCCCCATAATCTTCTAACCAGAACACTGGAGAAAAGAGTCAACATTTTCCACTAAACAAGACAAGACATTTAGTTCTCCAAATACCAACCCCAGCTTCTTTCACTCAGCACCGGTTCTTGCTGGATACGTGGGCATGGAATGAAAACAATGCTTTTGATCATAGCTTATACTGGTGCTCAGTCAGTACGTTTTGATATTACCTTTGTTCCCAGAGTGCCCTCAATACAAGGACTCTTGCAAATAAATTAATATTTCCCAAACAGCTTTATTCTAAAGTAAAATCAATGAGCTTTATGTTAAATGAAAAGCGTGAGAGAATATAGAAGTGATAGCACGGGCATTTCATTGTACAATGAGTATCAACACCTCTCTATAAGAACAAGAAATCCTTAGATCACCTGGTCTCCATAAAATTGGTGACTTTCATATGCCTACTGAATGTTGCTTTGTCATAGAACATTATATTATTTCATCACTTCCTCATTTATTATACAAGGCAATTAAGTCACATTAAAAACAATATATTTTTGGTTAAAGAAAAGACTAGATTATCTTTTAAGAGCCAGATGAACATCTTTATATATAATAACCAACACATTTTTTTTTCCCAAGAAAAGATGACTTCTTAGGATTTTCTCCTATACCCATTCAGTGTTTTTTCCTCGAGAAGACTCAGAATCACATTTTCCCTTTTAAAAATCTTAAAACATTAAAATAGCATGAGAGGGTTCCACTGTGGTCAATATTGCAGACATCTTAGAAAAAAAAACGAAACTAAATGATCTATAGATGATCAAAATGTAGAAATTATTACTAATCTGCCATCATTACCAGTTTCTCTTAAGTGGAGTCAGTTATCTGTCTCTCACTTTCTCTCCAGTGTTTTTGCAACAACCAAAACAATAAAAAAGAATTGTACCATGAGACAGGACATATTTGATTTTGATGAATTTACCTGAGCTGCCTCCTGTTGCTTTTTAAGCTGCTCAAGCATCTGCTGAAATTCAGCCTCTTTCTGTTCTGCCTCTTCCAAGGTGGCCTGATTCTGTTCCTCATAGGCCATGGCCACCACAGCCAGGATCAAATTTATCAGGTAGAATGAGCCCAAGAAAATGACCAGCACAAAAAATATCATGTATGTTTTTCCAGCAGCACGTAATGTCTGAAAATAAAAACATTAGAATTATTTTTTCAGTATTATTTCACTGACTAGTGGCTTTAACTTTTACTTGTGTGTCATGTAGGACCCTTGACATAAATAATAATTATGATGGTCACACCCCCTTCTGCCTCCTTGACTGTTTCTTTAACCTCATCCTTTTCCTTCTCCTCTAACTCATGCATTTACATTCAGATCTCCTGGAGGGAATTCTTGGATGCACCAGGAATAAAATGGAATCAAACGAAATACCATAGAGATTCCATCAAAGAGCTGAGCCTGTGATAAAAGTCAAGGAAGACATCAAAGTTATCTTTCTATATCTGCTTATTGATTTTCATCACCTGCCACCTGAGGAATAATATTTGAGTGGGCACATGGAGCTGAGGGGAAGGTGTGCCTTCTGTTTGAGAGGACCTGTGTCTGGAAATGGTGGAAAATAAGTTTTGAGCCAAAGGGAAATGAGAGGGAATTGCTATCCTGTCATCACTATGCTTAATATGTGTTATAATCAATAGGATAAAGAAATTCAAATCTCCCAATTTCAAGTTCTGTTCCTTCTGCTATATTATGCTGTGATTTGGAAGTCTGCACTAAGGTGTTTTTCTTATATGTTTCTACTTAAATGCAGTATGTATCTCTTCAGGTTCTCACCAGTTGATAAAGATTTTCCCAGAAGTCCTGAGTCATCAGTCGAAACAGAGACAAAAAAGCCCAGCTGAAGGTATCAAAGCTTGTGTAGCCATAATTAGGATTTCTACCAGCTTTCACACACATATATCCTTCTGGACATTGGCTATAAATGGGACAAGAGAAAGTATACGAAGTTCTGTTGTCTTTTTATTCCGATAGCATGCTATACTTATAACATTGTCTAGCCAGGAAAATTGGCTGTTTCAAGGGATGGAAGTTATCACAAGAGATAGAGCATGATAAATAATATACATTTCCCAACTTCTGACAACATAATTTTACTAGCCACTTGATGTCATCATTAAAATATTACCTAGCATTTTAAATAATATTTTACAAAACTACTTTCTGTTGATAATTAGCATTTTAACATATTCTAGTTCATTTTCTCTACTGGGAAGCCTCTAGAGTCATCTTCTAGTTCACACATACTCATCTAAGGGACACAGCATTAAAGCAAAAGTATTATTCCTTGTTTTATGAAACATAAAAACTTGCCTAACCTTTAAATAATCCCTCACCTTAGAGGTAGCCTGAATTATAGCAAATAAGTATTAATAAAGTATACACACATACACAAACACACACAGATTATTGGCTTACCCTGCATCAGAGCTGTTTCCACATAGTAAGGCATCCAAAAGACCCTCCAGAAAATAATGATACCCTGTTTAGGGAAGAGTAAGTCATATGATGAGTATTTGCATTACACTGCAAAATGAAAGCAAGATGAGGCCCCAACTTTTAGGATTCATAGAATGATTTAAAATATGTTATATAATTCCCTGAAAGACATTGGGATTTGCCATTTCATTTCTCCCTCAAGATACTAGATATTATAGTCAGGGGATTGATTACTTAAGAGAAGAAAGCATTTGTTCTTTATAAGTATAAAATTAGCGATAATTTAGGTGCTAACCTAAAAATTTAAAAAGCATCAAATGTTTTTTTCTATACCCTCGTGAAAAATGAAAATTTCATTCTGTAAAAATAGATAAGCATGACAGAGATTCCTTTGTTTTTCAAAATAGCCACATATTTGAAAACAAAGGGATTATATATTTTCTCTCTACTATGTTTTTACACACTATTTATAAATGTTTAACAGTTGATTATGATTTGCATTCTATCAACTTCCAGATATATTCTGCTTACAGTAAAGGTGCATAAATCAGGTCAGCTACTAAAAGAAATGAAACAAAAAATAATGTTAAATAGTAAAGCTAAAATAATTACTAGAGGTGAATACTATAGTATCTCAAAGCTTTCTTTTGCTGGCAAATTCTTTAGATTCTTTTAATATCCAGTTGAAGTGTCACTTCTGTGAATTGTTCCTTGATATTCTCTATTTCCTGCCCACTAAAGATTGGCAAAATTAAGAACTCCTCTCACTGTGTTACCAGTAATATGTAGCTACTTATATTATTATTAAACTCATTGTCCTATATTGTAATTATTTGTTTATAAAAATTATTACTCCTTGAAAGAAAGTCTAATCATTGATTATTTCCATATTACTATTGTTGGGACTCAGGAATCTATCAATAAATTTTATTGAATAAATAAGGACAGGGAAGACAAAAAGAGAAATGTAAGGAATTAAATCATCATTTGAAAAATGTATTCGAATATAGTTGACAATGTTACATTAGTTTCAGGTGTACAACATAGTGATTCCATAAGTGTATACACTATGCTGTGTTCACAAGTGTAGCTACCTTCTGTCCTGATATATTGCTATTATAATATCATTGACTGTATTCCTTATGTGGTGACTTTTATTTCTGTGACTTATTCATTCCATAATTGGAAACCTATATCTCCCACTCCCCTTCACCCATTTTGCCCAACCTGCCACTCCTACCCTTCTAGCAACCATCAGTTTATTCTCTGTATTTATGCTTTTTGTTTATTTATTGTCATTGTTTTTGTTTTTGTTTTTTTTTTTTTAGATTTCACTTATGTGTGAAATCAGATGGTATTTGTTTTTCCTCAGTCTGATTTATTTCACTTAGCATAATACCCTCTAATTGCACTACTGAGTACATACTCAAAGAAAGTGAAAACACTAATTTGAAAAGATATATGTATCCCTATGCTTATTGAAACATTATTGATAGTAGCCAAGATATGGAAGCAGCCCAAGTGTCCATCAATAGATGAATGGATAAGGAAGATGTGTTGTGTGTATACACACACACACGCACACACACACAATGGAAATATTACACAGCTATAAAAAAAGGATGAGATCGTGGCATTTAAATAATCATTTTTTTAAGAAAAAAATTTTTGGATTTTGTAAAAAGAAATATTTCCTAGATGTTAAATTTTCAGAGAAATTTGTTCTATGCATAGTTCTATAAGGGATACAAAAACCACATAATGGGAAATAACTTTCATTTCCAATGTCTTACTTCTTTGAACATAGACAAGAAAATTTAGACAGAATTCCTTTATTTTTAATTAAAATTAAATGAAGTGAAAAATATGAGAGTTTCTGGATGAATTCTTGATATCAGGTATTTATAAATGAAGTTTTAACCATTAAAGTCAATGATCTAGAAGCTTAATCTGAAGAAAATACAACTTTCAGTCATAATATTTATCTTTAATTGTAATAAATTTAATTTTCTATTACTTTCAAAGATAAACATTTTATTTGTATTTGCATTTATTTAATTAATTTATTTATTTATACAAAATATTTAATATAATTTATTGTCAAGTTAGCTAACATACAGTGTATATATACAGTGTGCTCTTGGTTTGGGGAGTAGAATCCCGTGATTCATCACTTACATACAACACCCAGTGCTCATCCCAACAAGTGCCCTCCTCAATGCCCATCACCCATTTTCCCCTCTCCCCTGTCCCCCCAACAGCCCTCAGTTTGTTGTCTGTATTTAAGAGTCTCTTACGGTTTGCCTCCCTCTCTATTTGAAACTATTTTTCCCCTTCTCTTCTCCCATGTATTTGTATTTGCATTTGATTTAAAACAATCTATTCAACAAATGGATTATCGTTAGGCAAAATGGTAAGTATGGATTTTTAGAGCTGAAAATAAATCTGATATTTATGATTTCTTTTACTTTGACTCTAAGAGAAATGGAGTCCAAGTACATATTCACTAGAGAATAAACCTTAAATGACATCTTCATAGTCAGTTCCTTGATCTTAGCCAAGAGAAAAAAATAACAGATTTCAGGGAGTTGATGACAGCAGTAGACTTATTGGCATCATATGAGTGAATAAAGAACAATTTTATGTATTGCTTTGGCACACAAATTCTTAACCTAGAGGTTTCCAACATGTGCAAATTACTTGTTGGCATATCACTAATGTCATGAAAGAGTTAATCTGTATGAATCAAGGCATTTTATATATCTACAATTATAAAAAGATACTGATTTGTTTTTAAAATTATGCTGTCATTACTTTAAGAATTATCCAACTACCAGTAATTTTTTATGACTAAGTCTACTTGTTCCACACAACCAATCACTAAGATTTTCTTTCTTTGATTTTTTTGTTAAGTATTACTCATCTCCTTCAAATAATAAACACCCATCTAAAGTCTAAGTTTCATATATTTAATATTTTTCTTTAAAAAGGACATTCCTTTTTCCTGTGAATCATGTTCTGTCTCTGCTCTTGTAACATTGCTACTGGCAAATACTAAAACCAAATAAAAGAGAAAATTTTACTTACTTTCTTTGCAGCTGAATTCTTTAGTCTCCCATATAATGATATAACAGAAAATGGCACTTGGAGTCAAAATTAGAATAGTTATCAATAAAATAATTAAAGGTATGTGCAAACCAATGGTCAGGTGATTACGAGATCACAACCTGCTATGCAATCATTTTAAGAAAATCTTTCATGCCTTGGTGGAAGGCAGGTCAACAATGAAAAAATAAATCTACATAACAATAATTCTTACTTGAATCTTGAATATACGATTTCCAGTCAAACTCAGTGTGAGTTTCATTGACAAGTGTGCCATTGTAATTCATGGTTACATTCTTCTCTATAGTGTGTTCCTCCAGGGAAGCATTGGTAGGAGGCCATTGTACACATTTATTCCGCAGGTTGCCCATGAACAGCTGCAGCCCAATCAGTGCAAACACGCTCAGACAGAACACAGTCAGGATCATGACATCGGAGAGCTTCTTCACTGACTGGATCAGGGCCCCCACGATGGTCTTCAGGCCTTAAAGAAAGAAGGCTATGACTATGAAGACTTAGAACACTGGAAATAACAAAAGGCCCACACAGTTTTCTTGAAAACATAGATTCCATGCATAAATTTGAAAATAATTGCAATGCCAGTGGAAGAACAACACTTCCTGGGAGGCTGAAGTGCTAAGGAAATGAACTCCAGAAACATAAAGATCCAAACAACGAAATGAAGATCATCTTCCATTATGTCGAGAGAGAATAATGGGAGGTTTATGGTCTTCATGAAGGGTTTTGTATTTCTCCATTTTGCTAATGAAACTCACCCCATACTTTCATTAGGGTTAGTTATCCATTTTAAAACAAGTTACCTGAATACATATTTTACAATGCCTATTTATAAGTAGGAAAAGTTTTGCTATAACTCGGGAGGAGGTTTAGGATATAATTGGACTTGAAGATAATAAATCCTCCGTACAGACTCATGCTATTCTTCATTATCTCATTTCCTTGCCTTTTAAAGCATTATTAGGATTTACATTGTACATACAACATCATCAATACCTACAATGAACAAGAAATTACAAATTGGTACATTCAGTTGGGACCCAATCCCTGGTACAACTGACAATGGAGAGAAAAATACATGACATCTCTAAGGGCAAATCACACATGGACTATATACTGCATTATCTCATGCTAAACTCCTACGCTGATAAAAAGTGAAAAAACATAAAAACTTATGTCCACATAATAAGAATCATTTCTTATAAAACACTTGATTTTGATAATGATTTTGATTATTTTATTATGACTCCTGAATTTCTGTAATGTTGACTGTCAAGCAAAGAAGATGTTGCTGAAAAGACATGATGGATCGGCCCCGGGTGTTTAACCTAGCTCTCACCTGGAATGACTGAAATTGTTTTCAGGGCTCGGAGAACTCTGAATGTTCTCAACGCTGAGACATTGCCCAGGTCCACGAACTCTGTCACGTATCTGTAATAGGGAGTTCACACACAGACACAATAACAGGATACAAAGAAAGAGCTGTAGGTACAAGGAGCCTTATGGTTCACACCAATCACTCCTTACCTGGAGTTACAGAAATAGTTTTCAAAGCTCTCAAGACTCTGAAAGTTCGAAGAGCTGAAAAATTGCCTAGGCTTACAAATTCTGTTACATACCTGTAGAATTAAATCAGAGTTATTCAAGATTTAGGCAGGATTTATATTATTTGCTTGGGTCTTTTATAAAGACCTTCTTGGTGATTCTAAATGATAATATCGTATGTAGCAATTTAGAAATTAGAGTCAATTGCTATGGTTTTCTTTACTCACATCATTTAAGGCCGTTTGCTGTACGTAAACTTCATAAAGTGTATAATCCTGTTGCTATGTTGGCTAGCAATATAATCAACATCTTGTGTAACTGAGGAGAATTAAATCAATAGAAAATTAAATCTTGGCTGTTGTTTTAGGGTTTCAGTTAGAATGAACTATGTGAAATCACCTAAGAGAAATTTAGGCAGGAAAAGGCAGATTGCTTTACTATCTGTACATGAAAAGGTTTTCCTAGTGTAACTCCTAAGTGAAAGTTAGGCAAGTTCAGAACAAGATCTTATGATCTGCTGTTATTGCTACTTTGTTTTCAAAAAACAGTTGTCCCAATATGCTGTCTTTTGAACGGTGGCCCAAGGGAATGGTGAAGAGTTGGCTCATCTGGACTAGACATGGAATTAAAGATGAGACAGGCAGCATTTGGAGACCTCAGTATGTCATTCCTACTTCTGATCCTATCTACCTCGCTGTGCCTGTAGGAGGCCAAGAAGTCAGCTCCTGAAGGAACGCTGAGGGCAAGTGGGCATGGGCCACCATCCTCCACACATATTTCACCTACTTCCGAATGGCCTTCGATTCCTTTTCTGAATCTCTTCTTCCTTGGGGAAGTTTACCACAAGAAAAAACAAGGACAGGGATGAAGAAATTGTGCATATTACCGAGTGTATCTGGATGGGAGATGAGGATAAGAAGGTTTATGTAGAGGGTAATGAGATGAAGAAAATCATAAAGGGAAAGAGGAGAAGAAGAAATGGGATCAGGTGAGGAATAGGAAGAGACAGAATGTGTCTGCTCATAAGTAAAGATCAATTTGCTGATGAAATAATAATTTACTATATTAAATACATAATATATTAAGGACCTCATTTTTTCTATTAGTTTGATCTGTCAGAAATTTTGGATGCTCAGAGATAGTTATATTATTCTACCAAACTAATAAAAGAAGACAGAGAGAATACGTAACACGGGTAAGCTCAGTGAAAATTTGTGCAGCCAACAGAGTGGTTTCTGACTCTAATTTTTAAAAGCCATTTTCACAGATGTATTCTGAATACACCTGTGCCTTCAAATTGTGTGCATGTGGGAGGGACTTGTGTGTCTGTTGAACAAGTGGCATGTATGAAATCTGCTGACATATTTCTTACATGTGGAAATTGTAACTTCAACCACTGCAGAGGCTGTGTGCCCAAGTGAAATGTCACTTGGACCTCTGTTGTGCTAAACAAAATCAGGAGCTTAAACGTATACATCACACCAAAATATTTTTTGGTTAAAGCAAGCTTAGTCTTTAAAAACATAAGCACTCATAGAAAGCCCAACCATATTCTGCCTTGAAGATTCAAAAAGGCACTTACGCAAATGTAATGACAGTGAAGTCGAGCCAGTTCCATGGGTCCCGAAGGAAAGTAAAATCTTCTAAACAGAAACCCCTTGCAATAATTTTTATAAGTGATTCAAAAGTATATATTCCTGTGAAGGTGTACCTGGAGGCAAGCATCCAAAAAAGACTTGATAAAGCAATAATTTTCTTTTATAGCATATCAATTTCTTATCACTCTGTCAGTGGAAGAGATGAACATTAAAAAAGGGAATCTAAGTAGGTGGATGTTATTTTCATGAAAATAAAACATATCCCTAAATTTAAATTCCTTCCCTCCCATACGAAGAGTTGTTTTTTGAGGGTCCTAAAAGCGGAGTGAGAAATACAAGCTGTATGAAGTCTATGTGGCTACTGCCTGAAATGTCTTGGTATTGACATAAGTGAATAGAACCTCCTGAGAATTATCCAGTACATTCATGTAATGGAGTAGCCAATCAATACTATTGCAGAAGCATAAAATGATATTCCTTTAGAAAGTAAAAAACTAATTTCAATCATGTTTAATGAATGAGAGAACATTGACAAATTAGCAAGTCTTGTGATTTTCCCTTTCTAGAAAATAAGACAGTTCACTAGCTTGGAAAAAGGATTTTGTTAACATCCGATAGGATAATTCTAGGGTCTTATGAGGTAAAAATTTAATTTAGAATAAAATGTTGGGCTAATTCAGAAATGTACATGTTTCCAAAGTTTTAACCTTCTACTCAGAAGTTAGAGAATAAAATCACAGAAACCAGTGGGACCGAAGACCTATGGGTCTAACATGTTAACTTCAACACCTTAGGAATTCTTTGTATATAAATTTTATTACATCCTGTTTGGATCTCTGTTTCTCTTATAATTAGCTCCAACCTGGAAGTGTCCAGGTAGAGAAGAGGCTCTTGGGAATACCCTCATGGTTGTTGTTTTCAGGGTCAACAGCCACAGAGCAAAAGAGGTTACAACCTGGGCAGGATGAAGAGCCCCAGCAGAAATTAACACAAATCCAGCCTCTCTGCCATAGAGGTAACCCAGAACAGAGTCATCAGTGCAGTTAGTAATGCTTTTAGTTTCCACAAACACTACCCTTTCACTTCAGTTAGTTTAACCCTCAGTTTAAATGGAATTTTCAAGTTGTAAAACCCCAAATTTGGGGATTTTTTTTTCAGCGAATTTTTTGATGACAGCACTTGAAACTGATTTAGGCCTGACAAGAAGTAGATGTGCCTGATGGAAATGAAAACCCAACGAGGATCAACATTGTCTTCTCACGGCATGTGTGACATTCCCTTGTAAATTCTGAACTCAGTGAATTCATCTGGAAATTTAATTGGAGTCAAGGTTTACCATATTGGCTCTCTTCTGCAATTGCTTTCATCACATTTGCTTTGGCCACTGTAGATCCTAAGGAAATATGGTGAGTGTCTGAGAATATTGGCCTTCTGATAACCATCAAATACAGGTGAAAGACAGATATTAGATCCAACAACACCAGCAGGCCTGAAAGCAAATGTCATTTGTCTTCCTGCTTTGTACTTGTGCCTAGAGATGGCTTTAATAAAAATATTCTTCAGTTTTATTTAGAAGGTACACTGAGGCATGGTTTCAAAATCTGTATCTATATATAGATATAAATATACATGTCTATATGTCTACATATCTATATAGTCATATCTATAACACACACATACACATAGTAGGTGGTTTCAACATAAATTGAACTTACTCTACATTCTTTGTCCAGTCAGGAGGATTACTCATTGTCATAAACACACAGTTCGTCAAAATAGTGCACATAATTAGCATGCTGAATAATGTAGATTATTGTTAAGGAACACGCAAAAGAAAATCCAAATCCACATATTATATTATATAAAACAAACATTGAAAGATTAAACTGCAGTTTAGCCAGGATACAGTGACTAATACACTGTGGGTAATTATCTAATTTCTTTAAATTTCAGTTTTGTCATTTGCAAAATGTGGGTAATAATATCAACCCTCAGAGTAGTACTATAGATTAAGTGAGATAGTGTACAGTGTGTTGTATAGATTAAGTGAGATAATGTATAATGTTTATATAAGTATAAAGTATTGTTTTGATACTATTACTGAACCAATATATTTGCCTCCCAGAGGAGTTTAGTGGGAAAGCTGTGCAAAGTGGAGTGGTACAGTTTTTGGGCAGAGAAGCCTGATTTGAATTAATTCAGGTGCCTAAAATAGCAAATTGTTAAGGAAGGCACATATAAGCAATACTGTAATTTCTTAAGTACATATTATATATATATTTTTTTTTATGTAAAAAAACCCCACGTAGTCAGAGTACAGCATGGTCCTGGGTCAGGTTGCTCTATTTTGACTGAGTTTGAACAAGTTCAGCAGTACTGAATACAAGTAGAAGTGAAAATCCCCAAAGGCCAGGACTTAATGTGACATGAATGTAATTAAAATTCAACATAAAAGTGATCTTGGGCAATTCACTCAGCCACTCTTGCCACGGAATCTTATGTCTCCAGTGACTTTCATACAAGGTAGCTAATCAAGTGTAGACTTGGCCGGTTTCAGGTGCAGATGAAATTTGTTAAAATGTGGAAGGTTCTTGGAACAGGCCTATATATTAGTAAATATGATCCAAGTGTTAGCTAAAACAAATGACTAAGACATAACAGAGCTGAAGGGGACCTTGAAAAAAACAACTAGTCTAATCACTATATTTCAGAAATCAAAGACATAAGGCCCAAGCTCTAGGGAAATTAGATAACTTGGCTGAGGACTAGAACACAAGTGTCCTGCCTTCATATCCAATATTCTTTCCACTACAGTTAACTGCCCAAATAAAAATTTTCCAGAAGTGAAAAAGGAAGTTTTCATCAAATGACCACATGATGGCACTAGGAATACAAACTAGGATAAGGTAACCTCCATAAACATAAGAACCTTGAACATATTATTTGTTTCAAATCTTCTAATAATTAAAAATGGCATATTTATGCCACTAAGGAATCTCTTGCCATCAGGTTAAAAGTAGAAATGACCTTTTCAGTTTTATAATCTTTTTTTTTTTTTAAAAATCAGGTATCATGCATTTATGAAAATTACAACAGTATTTCTACATTTATCATCACCAAAGCCATCAAATGAGACATAATCAGAAATAAAGTTTTTGCCAATGATATGAATACCTAAATTTAGTTGGAGTCCTTTTTAACACCATTGGAAATTGCAAAGTCAAATCCCTAAAGATCGTTTGGTAATACAATCTCAGCTTCTTTCATTAACTTCCAGAGTCGTTACTAAGCAATCCGTTTTACATGACAGAGTCATAATTCAATGACTTACATTTGAAATTCAGCCAATATTTCCGTATTTCCTTGTGAATTTCATTTGGAAAGTTCAAGAATTAACTAAGTATTGGCCAAAGCTGCCTGAAATTCTCCCATAGAAAATATACTTAAAGGTTTATTCTAAGGTAAACTAAAATGCTTTATCTAATAGGTATGTCTAAACTTGGCTCTAGAAATATATTTCTCTGTTATTAAATGATTACTTATTGTAAATTCTACATAATCACAAATTTTGTGGTAAAGATGGTAAAGATACATACGGCCATCTAAAATTAGATTTGTAAGACTCGATCCATACAAGTATTTTTAGGAAGATATATATATCTGTATATAAAGTGTTAAAGGCTAGGTATAAAGGTTTAGGAAGATATATATATCTGTATATAAAGTGTTAAAGGCTAGGTATATATATTTGAAAGATAAATATATATATGCATATATATATATGCATATATATAATGTTAAAGACTTTGTAAGTTTCAGTGACATCTCTATGACCAATAAACTGTAAGAATAAGGCTTATATGACAAAAGATACAAAATGAGAGTAATAAAAGCCACAGAACATGGACATTTCCCAAGCTAATTTTATATTTAGCTACAAAGCACTTATAGATTACACACATAGTTACTATTGATCACTTCAAAAGGATATGAATGTACCAAAATCTTAATAGCTATTTTCCTAAGAGGATTGAAGGGAGTTAAAATGTACAGGGCAGAGGTGGCACTGAACCGGAAGATGGCCTTCCCTTTATTCAATACTATAAAAGTCTGTAAGACAGGAACACAACATACAAGTATAAAAGTATAAACCATTTAAACTCTATTGCCTACTTCTGTTATTTGTCATAATGAATTATTCCAATGTTGCAGCTTTTAATGTACACCATGCAGACAAACAGTCACTTTTACAGGACCGTTAGAATCCTTTAGAGAGGACATTCAATGGTGTCATCTACCTTTTACCTGATACTTACCTGCAATTTTATCATACATAAGGTATTTGGTCAAGAGAATTGGTTTATTTTGTTAATATCGTAAACATCTGACTTGAATGAAAGTCTTAAATGGGTGCGTATTTCATTTCTTTCTAAAATTCTTAAGACACCACATTTCTTTATAGTGATTTCAGCTTTCCCAATTTGAATATCTTGAAAATTAATCCTATAGAATGCAAAATCATTCAATAGAACTAGTACTTTTTTCAAAGTTATTTTTTAACCATTTATTCTTAAAATAAATCTTATCATCTATTGGTAATAGGAAATAAAAACAGCCACCATAAGACCTGCTCTTGAGCTAGATGGACACAATCCAATAATTGATTTTTGGAAGCCAAGCTCCTTGGAGAGTATCTGTTGACTGGGAGTGCTAAATTCTGTATTGGGATTTCTGAGTTAGCTGACACATTGAATTCTAATCCCAATTGACTGCTCATCTCATGTAGTGCTTTTTTAGTATGGAGGAAAAGCTCAAAGCCCCTGAAGAATTTAGGATCCGTGAACGTGAATGGAATTGCATTCCAAAAATTAGATATATTTGAGAGCAATTAGCAGTGTTCAGACAAAAAAAATAAATAAATAAAGTAACAACATACAATAGCATAAATAACATAATGAAGGATTCTGACTCAGTGTTTCTTAAGGCATTTACCAATAATAACATAACATAAAATTTACCCTCCTAATCATTTCTAAATGTATTGTTTGGTACTGATTTTTAAAAAGAATGTATTATATGGCTTATTATAGTAAAGTACCTTAGCATCTTTTAAATCTAATTAGTTCAATAAAAATTTCATTACTACAACTCCTCAGGATAACATTCACTGCATGAAGTGACTTCAAAACCAAAGAAAAAGTTCAAAATTGGTGGTGGAGGAGAAAAGGCTGATAAGTAGCATCTAGTTTGAAACAGGCTTCTCTTTACAACCCAAGACTGTAGAAAATTTGATTTTGTGCCTCAGAACATATTTCAAAACATAACATTTTGACTGGTTCAGGAATGAAATTCTATATATGAAATATCACTTTAAAGATACATTTATATGAGTCTAACTCTTCATACATTAGATGCTGGTCATAATTATCACTTAGCTTTTCATATATAGTTACCAAACTCAGTAACATTTATTGAGCCCCTACACGATAAGGTGTTAATATTATGAGCATTGCAAACACCTGGACGGTAGTATGGAACTAGTTTTAGGTCCAACTATTAACTTAGTTTATTCCAGTGCAAATAATGTATATTAACTAATTAGCACAATACTTGCAAAGCTCTGTGCTAGAGTTTACACAGAAAACAAAGACATGTAAGTCAGGACCCCACGAAGTATATATAGTAGTGAATGTTCAACTATCTCAGCTAATAGAAGAAAGTCTAGAAGGATAATTTATGTAGAGCAAAGCTGTCCATTAGAAATATTACGTGAATTACAAATTTGAGTCCATACGTGATTTTAAATATTCTGATAGCTGTATTTTTAAAAAGTAAATAAGCAGGTGAAATTAATAATTTTTAACCTAATATATCCATTATATTATCATTTTGTGCAACCAATATTAGAAAATTTGAGATATTTTACATCCTTCTTTTCATACCAATTCTAAGTCTTTGAAGTCTGTACTTACCACATTTAAAGCACTAGACCCACACTGGGGCAATGTCTACTGCATTTGGCAGCACAGACCTAGATGTAAACCATGCATTGTAGTGCTAGTTCAGACTCTCTTCAGCAAGGTAAAAATCAATTCTGATTTTGTTTTATTTTATTTTATTTAAAAAAATTTTTTTTAACATTTATTTATTTTTGAGACAGAGAGAGAGCATGAACAGGGGAGGGTCAGAGAAAGAGGGAGACACAGAATCTGAAACAGGGTCCAGGCTCTGAGCTGTCAGAACAGAGCCCGACATGGGCCTCGAACCCACGGACTGCAAGATCATGACCTGAGCCGAAGCTGGACTTAACCGACTGAGCCACCCAGGCACCTCTCAATTCTGATTTTAAAGGCAAACTAAGAAAAACAGGCAAACACCCTGCTATTCAACAGCTTGACAATCTGGAAAGTAACAGTAGGAAAATATAAGTAGATTTTTTTTTTAAACTTAAGTAGTTATTAAGAGTGTAGACCCTGGAGTCAGACGTCTGGCTCAAGTGTGGCTCCGTAGCCTTCCAGCAGTGGGATCCTAGACAAGTTACTTCATTTCTGTGACTCATTTGTCTCATTTGAAAAATGGGAATAAATATACTTAGCTCACAAAGTTGTTGTGATTCCAGTTCAGTAGAGATTCTGATACCTAGTATTGTGTATTTTTAGTAAATAACTCAGGTGATTCTTCAATAGCAGGGCTGTGAATCTGTGTTTGTTAACAGGTAATTTTTAAAATTGCCCGAATTGTCAATGATTATGTTGTACACATGCGTTAAAATCCTTCCCCCTGACCTATAATAACAATATATAATAATAACAATTATAACAATTTGGTAGGAATTGCTATTTATGAATCTGTGCTTGTTACTATCTAGTGATTTTGTTTCTGAGTTTTTATTTTATTGTATTTTAACATGAAATTTATTGTCAAATTGGTTTCCATACAACACCCAGTGCTCCTCCTAACAAGTGCCCTCCTCAACGCCCATCACCCACTTTCAGTTACCTCCCACCCCCCCATA